GTTTATTTATTTAGTGTGGGGGGGGACAGCTCAGCCCACCAGGGGGCAGGGCTGGCTGGCATGTGGTGGTGGGGGATTGAACCGTAGTCCCTGTGCTTTCCTGAGCTTGTTCTAAGTAGGTGCTTTAGACCACTAAGCCATCTCACCTGCCCCTCGCCTGTAGATTTCTACTTACAATGTGTTTTTGGAGGGATCTTATTAGGTTTTATTAGTAAGAACACTATTATCTATATTCTGTGACTCATTGAGTAGTTGTATAGTACCTGACAAAGTAGCAAGTAAGGAGATATTTTGAAGACATCAACATTGCCCAGAAGCTGCTTTATACTTGACACAGTGTTAAAAAGCCTAAGGGCTGGCCAAATAGCTCAGTGGATTAAAGCACTTGCAAGCTGGTGCAGCAGCTGGGGATTTGATCCCTGGGCCTGCTGTGCCGGCCCTGCTCCCAGGGGGTGCTGAGACAGCAATTGAGACTGGGTGTAGTGACGCCCACCTGTAATCCCAGTTCTTGGGAGGCTGAAAGCAGGTGAATCCCTATGAATCTGATCTACATAGTGAGACCCTGAGAATCCTGTAGACTCTTCAAAAAAAAAAAGAATATAGGGGGACCTGAACCATTTGGTATAGGTCTTGAGTCACATTTGATATCCTCTGAATATTAGTTCTCTCTCTGTCCTACCCTTCCCTCCCCTCTTTTCTCTTCCTCTCCTTTTTCCTCCCCTTCCCTCTCCTCCTTTTTCCTCCCCTTTTGCCCCCTCCCTTTCTTGCCCCTCCTCTCCTTTACCTGTCCTCCCCTGCTTCTCTACCCCTCCTCTCTCTTTTTATTTTGATGCCGGGAATCAAACTCAGGACTTTGTGCTTGACAGGCATAGTCTTCTATTAATAACCATTGTTTTTCTTTAAAAGTTGATTCTTGGTTTTCGTCTAAAATTTCAATAACCTTCATTAAGTATATTCAGTTCAGATGTGAGTTGATAAAACTTCATTTAAGGTGGAACAATAAATCAGTATGTTTTGTACTTACAGTGGGATCATGAAACCTGGCCTCAATGCCATTCTGGGACCTCCAGGTTCAGGCAAATCTGTGTGAGTATAACTGAGAATATAAGTTGGCTTTTTTGCTATATCGTTGCAGTGTGATTTAAAAAAAAAAATTACCTTTACACAAGCAGGTGTTGGTTGAGCATTTGTTATGCATCTAGGCTCATCCTAGATGTTGTGAAAACATGCATTCAGGCCAGATTGTAGTTTTGTTTTGAGGACAAGGTAGTATAGTCTTATTTGGTTAGGTTTGCTAATCGAATGTGGAAAAGTGATTGGGCTATAAAAACCAGAATTATAACTGGAATAGAGAGGGGGAACAAGGAGATAATTTTAAAAGGAGAGAGCTGGAACAGAAGTTCTAAGTGAAGGTATGAGATTAAAATAAAGAAGCACACTGCCTTGGTCGGGCTTTTCAAAGTTAGACACCAAGAGGGATCATTTGGGATGTCTGTATAGGATAAGCCAATGCTTTGCTTTTATGGCTCTAGGCTTTCTTGCAGCACACAATGAAAAGGTATGTGAGGGTTTTAAAAAATATACATGTGCATCTATATGTATTACCTTTCTGGACAAGTTTATTTTCTCATGAGCTGAGAAGCTAAAATATACCTTCTTTGTTGTAGGGAAAAAGACTCCATGACGTATATGTTTTTTGTAGGTTGTTAGATGTCTTAGCTGCAAGGAAAAATCCACATGGCTTATCTGGAGATATTCTGATAAATGGAGAAGCACATCCTTCCAATTTCAAATGTTATTCAGGCTATGTGGCACAAGTGTCTGTGAGTTTTTATTTCCTCTGTTTCTATGTGAGCATCTGCCTTGGCATATGATTTAGTGTGCTTCTAGCTTTTTATATAACATGCTCATAGACCACTCTTTACAATACCTTTTGATAATCTTCCATTAGATTGAAGGTGGAATTAATTGGAAAGGCAAAGATCTGGAATATGATCCGTGTAAGGCAGTCGAATCAATCTAGCTGGTTTATCATTGTCAAAAAGGATCTGCTGCTATCCTTATTCACGTTTTTGTTTCCTATAAGATGTCTTTTGGCAAATCCTTGTACAAAAGAGACTGCAATAGTTTGTTAATATTCATCACAATTACCTCTATGTGCAAGTGTGAGGTGAAAAATGATTCCACCAGATTTTCACCTTTCTGTAGTGTATGTAGTTTCTATAATACTTAAAATTGGAAAATCACAATTAGCTAAAGCTTTACTTTGGTTATATTATTTCCTTTGGCTAAATTGCATATTCTAGATCATAGAAAAGATTTTGCCTATGTCATTAAAATATCATTTTGCTCTAAGGATGACGTCATGAAGGGCACACTGACGGTGAGAGAAAACTTACAATTTTCAGCAGCTCTTCGAATTCGTACAACTGTGACAAATCAAGAAAAAAATGAGAAAATTAATAGGATCATTGAAGAATTAGGTCTGGATAAAGTGGCAGATTCCAAGGTACTGTAAATAAAACTGGTAGAATCACAGCCAGGTGATGAGACTTCCCTTTTATGAATCAACTGATCCTAATCCAAAAATTTCTATAATGTGTGTGTTCAAAGTGGTGGCTCCTTGTAATGAAGAGAAAAGTTACTAGTTACATAATAAGGAAGGATAAATTAAACTGGAAAAAGTTTGACAATGATTGAATCTTGGAGATGATGTGAAACTTGGCTTCATCAAACCCTTGCCATGTGATCCTCCTTCATCTTCATAGTTCAGGTCCTAGGGCTGGGGAGATAGCTCAGTAGAATAAGCACCTGCCTGGCAAGCACAGGGTCCTGAGTTCAGTTCCCAGTATCCCCAAAGAAAAAAATGATCATAGTTCAGGTTCTGACTTCTTTGATATGTTTGCACTAATTTTTCTCTTCTTGTTAGCAGTCTGTCTGTCTTTCTGCCTGTCTCTAGCGAACCTTGTTCTGTTGCTTTTGGGAAGTTTATTTCTGGAGTTGATATCCAAAGATTCTTGCTTTATACATTTCTCCTTGTGTCATTTGGCATCCAAAATTTTATTCAGAGGAAAGTAGACTTAGAATTTGTGTAATGTCATTGCTTGAAATAATTATTTATTTTTATACTTTTTAATGATATTGTAAACAATAGAAATTCAAAGAAAATAGTCTGATTACCATAGTGATAATATTGTAAGAAATTGGTATAAAAGTATCATTATTAAGATTGTTCACCTTGCTTTCTCAGTTCTTCACATCTTAACCAGAATGACCTTCACTTTTTTATTGAAGTATTTTTAAAAAACATAATATTTTACCCCCTGACCACTTATTATGCATGTATAAAAATACCAGTACCATTATCAACCAACCAAAAGAACAGTATCTTCATATTGTCAGCTGTATTAAGACAATATTTATTCATATTTCTCAGAGTGTTTCCAAATGTCCTTATAGTTCAGTAGCTAATAGAAGATTAGCAAGGCCACAGGTAGCATTAGTTATTCTTTTTGGAGACTTTTTTTTGAGGGGAGCATGGTTGACACAAGGTTTCTCTTGTAACCATAGTTGAACTCATTATGTAGCCCAGCCTGGCCTCAAACTTGCCATTGTGCCTTAGCCTCCCAAGTGTTAGAATTACAGCTGTGGGCTACCATGCCTGGCCTTTTTGGAATCAGTTACAGAATTGTTTCCCACTTCCAACCTCCCTTAAGCCTTTCTTTTCCCCTTGCCATGTACAATAACATTGACTAGTTGAAAAGAGTCAGTTGCCCTGCTATACATCCATTTTCTGCATTTAGCTGCAAGTGTAAATCAGAAGTTCTGTGACAGACTGGGTGTAGTGGTGTGCAAGTGTAATCTCAGCTCTTGGGAGACTGTAAATAGGTGGATCACTACAAGTTCAATTTAGTAGTGAGACCCTGAACACCCTGTAGACCCTTTGCTAAAATACAAGAAGAGGAGGAGGAGCAGGAAGAGGAGCAGGAGGAGGAGGAGGAGGAAGAGGAGGAGGAGTTGAAGTTCTGTGATGAGTTTGTGTATAGGCAGTGTCTGTCAAAAGTGCTATGGAAATTGAAAAGGCTACAGACAGTGCAATTTCCTGACTCAGAGTCAACTCTAATCATGTAATTCCAGTTGGAGACTTTTATAGCTGAGACAGTGGGGAGGTTGTGCTGATAGATGAGTAATAAATTACTCTATTTTCCCTTTTCCTGATGGGTTGACTGTTTGTGGTACTAAGGATTGAACCCAGAGATTTTGTACTGAGCTATGTCCCCAATTTCCCCCTTTTTAACTTTTGAGACCAAGTCTTGCTAAGTTGCCCAGGTGGTGCTTAAACTTGTTATCATTTCAGTTTAGCTTCTTTTTATCATTTTTACTGTGATTTTATGTGTCAAACTGAATCTTTGTGTTCTAGGTGTTTTTGTTTTTGTTTATATTTTGCTTTCTTTTGTCAAGACAAGGCCTCGAAGTCATGGCAAACCTCCTGCTTCAAGTGCTGGAATTAAAAGCATGCACCACTGTATCCTGCTCAATATCTTCTATTTTAAAAATAAGTATTTGACTCAGGCACGTACGGACGTGTTAAACAAATGGACTTCAAATTAGGTCTTAGCCACTTAGCAGCTCTGACATGAGGCATAGTTTACTCATCTGGTAAAGCAGAAATCACTTCCTTCTCCTAGGTATCCCCTTATTTTAGTTGAGAATAAAGAGAATAATAAGATAAATGTGTAGGGCTGGAACAGAATTATACACCACATGCTAGTGGCTGTGGCCATTCCTGTTGACAATGTTTTATTTTAGGTTGGCTTTGAATTTATCCATGGTCTGTCTGGAGCAGAAAGAAAAAAGACCAGCATTGGAATGGAGCTGATCAATGATCCTTCCATCTTGTTCCTGGATGAGCCCACTAATGGTTTAGACTCAAGCACAGCACATGCTGTTTTTGTACTTTTGAAAAGGTAACAGCTGTGAGAACATTTTTCTTTCACTTATTTAATGTCTGATCACTTCTGTGTACTTGTTGTTCTTGGTACAGGGGACTGTTTTAACTTTTGAGACCAAGTCTTGCTAATGGAATAACAGAATTTCTCCTTCTATTGGAGGCAGAAAGCCAATTAGAAAAGAAAATGGTAGTAGTGAGGGCAGATTGAAATAATAGGAAAGTCAGGGAAAACCTTAAGCCTGTGACAGAAAAGATGAGAAGGAGTGACATCTGAGGTTGGATTTGACAGAGAAAGTGTTAATTGGAAGAGGAGCAGCGAGGTAACCCAAGCTGACCAGGCCTGTCATGTCCAGGATACCAATGAGGCTGGAGGGACAGAACCCAGTGACTAAGCAGAGTGGAATTTGGTGAAGATATTGTTGTAACTATATAACACAGAGTGGTTTAAATAACAGAAATTAACATTCTTCCAGCACTGGATGTGGGAAGTCTGAGATCAAGGTGTCCTCATGGTGGTTTCTTCTGAGTGCTCTGTCCTGACTTCTTGATGGCTACTTTTTTTCCATTGGTATGTTCTATCCATGACCTAATCTCTTAGAAGAATACCAGTCTGACTAGGATCCTCTCAGTGAACTTGTATAGTCTTAATTATCTCTTTGAATACTCTGCTTCCAACTGTAACCCTATCCTGAGGTACTGAGCATCAGAACATAAGCACATGAAGGTCTGGGGAGGACACAGTTCAACCCATCACAGGTAGAATAGGATGGGGGTTGGGATTATTTTGTTGACAGATTATATAGACCTGGTAGGCCACTGTAAAAAGTATGGCTTTTACTGTAATTAGAAGACTTGGAAGGCTTTTTGAGAGCTCAGGAGTGGCAGCTGCAGAGAGTTACAAATTTGGGCAGGGGTGAGTATGAGTAGGCCAGTATGGAGGCTGAGGAAGTGTGATGGTTCCTTGACTATGATGGTCATGGTGAGGTGCTGAGAAGTAGATGTGTTGTGGGTCTGTCCAAAGGCAGAGCCAACATGATCAGTTCAGAAATTGGCCTTGAGATGGATGATTTAAGGAATGATTTCTAGAGCCTGGACTGAACACATGCAATAATGAAGTAAAAGTAATAGTATTTCATCAAGAAAGAAGACTGATAGGAGCTTTTATAGTAAAATTTTTCAAAAATTAAGTTTTCCCTTTTTTTTTCTTTTGATTTTATTTTTATATCAGGGATTGAACTCAGGACCTTGTGCTTCCCAGGCAGGCGCTTATGCCACTGAGCTATTTCCCCAGCCCAAGTTTTGTCTATTTTTGAAAAAAAAATTAAAGATTAAAAATAATTTGAAATCTCCAAGAATAAGACAAAGAAAATCCCACCCCACTCATCTAGATTCCCAAGCTGTTCCTTTCTACTTCATTTGCTGCCTCTAACTTTCTGCTTCCATTTCATAGGTTTTGCCACATTTGATCACCCCAAGTGTCCCAAGAAAGCAGGACATCCCCCCATCCCAGCCTCCCAGCAAAGAGCTCAGCATTCAGGGCTTTGCTACCAGTCTGTAGGTTCCACTCAGTAGTCAGCAGCTTCCTTGCTGCCTGATTCCTGAGGCCTGAGGATCCTCTGAAAACACACCTTTTCTGTGTCCTTTATATGAGGTTGGCTAGAGGTTGATCACTTTTATTTATTCTTTCAAAGAACCACAGTTCATGAATAGTTTGTATTGTTTTCTTCATCCTCATTGAATTTATTTTTGCTCTGATCTTTATAACTTCCTGCATTCTTTGGGCTTTGGACTTGACTTGCTTTTCTTTTTGTAGGAGTTTGAGGTGCAGTATGAAATTGTTTGTTTGGGCTTATTTTTCCTGATGTTAGGATTTATCACTATAAATTTCCTTCTTAAGACAGAAATTCATTGCATCCCACAGGTTCCAATAAGTTATATCTGCATTTTCATTTGATTGAAAATATTGTTTAATTTTTCTTTAATTTTACCCATGATCTATTGATTGTTAAGGAGGGTGTTATTTAGTTTTCTTGTGTTTGTAGAGTTTTTGCTGTTGCTTTTGTCAATAATTTTCAATTCCATTTGCACTATGGTCAGAGAATATGCGTGGCATAGTGTCAATTTCTTTGCATTTCCTTCAGCATGCTCTGTGTTCTTGGGCATAATCTATTTTTGAGAACGTGGCTTGTGCACCTGAGAAAAATGTATATTCTGATGCTGTTGGGTGAAATACTCTGTAAAAGTCTACTAAGTCAATTTCTTCACAAGTTTCGTTCAGTTCTTTTATTTGAGTGCTTGTATTTTGCATGGTTGATGTATCTCTTTGTGTCAGTGGGCTGTTAAAAAGTCCCACAGTAAAATTATGTTATTGCTTATTAGGTTTTTCATGTCTTTTGAAATTTGTCTTCTATAGTTGAGTGCTCTTACATTGGGTTCATATGTATTTATAATTGCTATTCCTTCTTTTTTTGATTTTCTGTCATATGGAACATTGTTTTTCATCCTTTGATGTTCAGTTTATTAATTTCCTTTTCAGTTAAATGTGTTTTTTGTGTGCAGCTGATTGGTTGGATTTTGTTTCTTTAGCCACTCTGCCAATCTGCTTCTTTTGATTAGTGAATTGAGATCATTTACATTGATAGTTGTAACTGATATGTACTGGCTTATCTTTGTCATGTTGTTTTCCTATTGTAGGATCCCTACTTTTGCCTTTGCTTAATTATTTGCTCTGCTTGGCAGTTCTCTACTCTTGTTTTTGAAGTCGTTGTTGTCATTGTCTCTTTCCAAGATACCTGTTAGTACTCTTTGTAGGTTTAGTTCGGTTGTCATTAATTTCTTCAGTTGTTCTTTGTCATGGAAGTATCTAATCTCTCAATTAAATTTGATAGTTTTGCAGGGTGCATCAATCTGGATTGGTAGTTGTTTTCTTTCAGGATCTGAAATGTATTGCTCTAAGTTCTTGTTGATTTGATGGTCTGTTTTGAAAAATTTGCTGTGATTGTGATGGGCTTTCCGTTATAGGTAATCTATTTTCTTCTAACAACTTTTAATATTTTATTCTTTTGCTCAGTTTGTGGGAGCTTGATTATTATGTATCTGGTTGAAGATTAATTTTAATTCTGGCTAGCTGGAGCAGAGTTTTCTGTATATGAGATTCTTTTAACATGCTTGGGAAATTTTCTGCTACTACTTCTGCAAACACTTTTCATGTCTTTTGTGTTAATGACAGCTGTTCTGTTGATACCTATTAGTCTTATATTATTTTTCTCTGTATCATCTTGCAGCTGTTTTATTATTATTTCCTGGTGTTTCATTTAAAAGAGATCTTTCCTTTAGTGTTTACTAGCTACTGTGCTATCTTAAGTGTCTGATATTCAATCTTCTGTTTCATTCAAGTGATTTTGCCAGCTTTCAATGGAATTCTTAATGTCCTCGATATCAGTTTGAATCTGTTTCATGCCTTCTAGTTCTTTCTTTAATTGGTCATTTATTATTTCCTTCATTTTCCTATTCCATTCTCTTTTTGTATCTATGTCTTTCTGAGATGTATTGAGCAATTCTTTCATGATTGCTGTTATTTTTTTTCTCTACCAGAGATTTTTTTTTCTGATCTGATTCCCTCCATGGCCTGATGAAGTTGTTTCTTTACTTTAGTTGCTATCATCTCAGAAACTTCATGTGTGTGACCTTAAAAGTTCCTCTATAACCTTGTCCCAGTGGACTTGTTTCGGGTGGGCTGGAGCTCTGAGATTGTGTTTTGTTCATTCCCTTTGCTGTTTAAAAATTATTAATTAATTTAATTAATTTGGTACAGGGTCTTACTGTGCAACTAAGGCCATAGTGATCCTCCTGTCTCAGCCTCCATAGCCCTTACAGGCATGCACCATGGGCTTACAGGCATGCACCATGATGACCAGCTTTGGGGTTCGCATGGCATGCCCCGTGTTGTGGGGCAAGCACAGCATGAAATGCAAGAGATTGAACTGAGGACCTTATGCTTGCTGGCAGGTATTTAGACTGCTGAGCTATCTCCTCTTTCTTTTTCATGTTTTGAAGCCCACAATGTCCTCCCTCACTCTGTAGCGATGGTAGGTGGTCAGCTGTGGGTCAGCAAAGGCTCTCAGGAGAGTGGCAGGGCAGGATAGGCTCATCAAAGTTCTCATTGTGTGGGGTTCAATGTGCCTTCCACCTCATTGAGGGGAAAGAGGCAGGGCACAGTTCCAGAAGGATCCAATGATGATGATTGCAGGCCAACATTCTATAAGGCTCTCTTGATGGTGTGTTGGCACAGGGTAGGGCTCCCCAAGGCTTCTGCAGGTCCCTGTGTTGGTTAGGTTTCCTTGGAGGCCTTCAGGGCAAGAAAGGGTGACTGAGCTCAGCAGAACTCTGAACTCTGTTGGGAAGGCTGAGTGGGCAGGGTTAGGGCTGCTGAATCTCCTTGGCAGTCTTCAGGGTGCAAATGGGCTAACAGGCTCAACAGAACTGGCAGGACCTTTAGTAACAGTTTTTTGTGTTTTTTGTGGTTTTTTTTGGGGTTTTTTTTTGGAACTGAGGATTGAACTCAGGCCCTTGTGCTTGCCAGGGAAGCACTTATTCCACTGAGCCAACTCCCCAGCCCCATTTTAGTAGCAGTTTAACAGTGATTTTGCCCTTTTTCTTTTTTCTACCCAGTTGTAATAACTCCCATGACAGGTAATTTTGTACTGTTTCTCCCATGGAATTAGGTCTGAGATCAAATCCTGGCCTTTCCTCTTATTAACTATTAGCCTGTGGCTATTTGCTTGACCCTTTAAGTTTTATTGTTAAAATGAAAAAAATAACAATGTTGGAACTGCCTTATAACAACATTGTCAATATTGAAATGTGGCTACCTCTAAAGCATTTCACGAAGACATAGCACTTTGTGGTGTTAACTGTATTATCAGGACAGCAGAATGAAAATTATTTGAAAGAACCAGAGACATAGTGGTTAATGAGAATTTGGCGTATGATCATTGTTGAATATTTAGTCTATAATTACTTCTTAGACTTTAGCATTTAGAAATTGCCTGAGTGTAAATTTATAATAGCAACTTCTTCTACCTTCACATTGTAATATAATGGCTGATGAGACTTCAATAACCTGAATTTTCACCTGTATTTTCTTTAAAAAATTTTTTAATTCATTTCAATGAGAAAAAATAGCAATGAAACAGTTTCAAAAGAAGTTAATAGGACAGTTACAATAATTAATACATTGCATATTATTGTCTTCATAGTAGTTATTCAGAGGACAAGATGCAGACATGATATCTTATCTAAACAATATTAGTACAAACCTTTCTTCTCATTTCACTTGCATTTTCAGTAAATCTTCCAGTGGCTTCTGCAGAATTAATGTACATATGTCAAAAAGCCTTAGTTTTAAACATAAAAGCACAGAATTTAGCTTCCCTGAGCAAGAAGTTGATTATATGAGACCAGCTGAGAAATTTGTTAGTGTTAATCAAGTTGGAAGTGCAAGATTTTGATGTGTAATATTTTTCTGTTTTCCATCCTTTAACCTAGGATGTCTAAGCAAGGAAGAACAATCATCTTCTCCATTCATCAGCCTCAGGACTGCATTTTCAGGATGTTTGATAGTCTCACATTACTGGCCTCCAGAAAACTGGTGTTCCATGGTCCTGCAAATGAGGCTATACAGTTCTTTGCATCAGCAGGTATGGCTGACCTTCTTCAGCAGATTCTTCACTGATGGAGTCCCGGAAGAGAGTGGGCCATCAGGAGTGTTGTTTGATACTTTGGGTTCCAGCACTTTGAAACATTTGCAATCCAAAGACAAAAATAAAATGATCATTTCAATAGACACAAAAAAGCATTTGATAAAATCAATAATGATAAAGTCAGTGATGACAAAGTCATTCATCATAAAATCCTTTTTGAAAATTGGAATAGAAGTTCTTTATTTTAATCTGATAAAAGGCATCTATGACAAACGAACAGCTGACATCATACTAAATAGATCAAAAACTGAAAGCTTTCATTCTAAAAATGAGGAATAAGAAAAGATCACCACTATCACCTCTCTTATTCAATATAATTCTGGAAACATTGGGCCAGAGCAATTAGACAAGAGAAAGAAATAAAAGCAATAATAATAGGAAAGAAAGGAATTAAATTATCATTATTTGCATATGACATAATACTCTACATAGAAGACCTCAAAAGCTCCAACAAAATTTATTTATCCATCAAATTTAAATAACCAAATTCAGTAATGTAGCTGGATATTAAGTCAACAATCAAAAATCAATAACATTCTTATAAACAAACAACAAATTTACAGAGAGAGAAATTAGGGAAAGCACACCTTTCATAATAGCATCTTAAAAAATGAATGATATAACAAAGGATTTAAAATGTCTGTAGAGTGAAAATTACAGTGTATTAAAAAGAGAGATTGAGGAGAATATCAGCAAATAGAAACATATCCATGGATAGGAAGAAACAACTTAGTGAAAATGATGGTATCCCAAAACTTTTATACAGATTTAGTGTAATTCCAATCAAAATGCCATTGGCATACCTCACAGAATTAGAGAAAACACTCCTAAAATTCACTTGGAACTAGAAGAGATCTAGAATAGCAAATGCAGTTCTGAACAACAATGGGATGTCTAAGTCAAAGCATGTCCAATCCCTGACCTGAAATTATACTAAAAAATTATTGTGATAAAATCAGTGTGGTCTTGGCAAAACAAAAGAAAACAAACCAAAACACCCTAGGTCAGAGGAATAGACTAGAAGATGCAGATGCAATTAGGAACACACTAAACCACCTTATCTGTAACAAAGGAGTCAAACATATTCACTGGAGGAAAGATAGTCTCATTAACAATTGGTGCTGGAAAAGCTTTCCACATGCCAAAGACTAAAACTTGATCTATGTCTGTCACCATGCACTAAACTGAAGCCAAAATGTATCAAAGGCCTAAATATTAAAAAAGAAACACTAAATATACTAGAAGAGAAAATAGATAGAAATCTTGAAGACATAGGTATAGGTACAGAATTCGTGAACAAAATCCAGACTGCAAGAGAAGTACAACAAAGAATCAGTAAATGGGATTTCACCTTATTAAAATGTTTTTGAGCAACAAAAGAAATCACCAACAAAGTGAAAAGACAATGTATGGGGTGGAAAAAAGTATAGTCAGTTATCCTTCAGACAAAGGATTTCTATCCAGAATATATAAAGAATTTTAAAAAGTCAAGACTCCAAAATTCTAAGACTCAATCCAAAAATAGGCCTCTGAAATGAATACACACATCTCAGATAAACAAATACAAATGTCAAATAAATATATGTCCAAAATCACTGGTCATTTAAGAAATACAAATTAAAATAACACAGAGATTCCATTTCATTGCAGAAAGAGTGACTGTCTTCAAAAAAACAACTGATAAATGCTGGAGGGGTTGTGGGAAAAAAGGAACCATTCTCCACTTTTGGTGGAATTGTGCTGCTATAAACATTTGTGTAGAGCAAAGTTTGGAATAGCAAAATCTGGAAAAAACCCAAATACCCATCAACCAAGGAAAGGATAAGCAGTGTGTATGTGTGTGTGTGTGTGTGTGTGTGTGTGTGTGTGTATGTGTGTGTGTGTGTCTTTGTGTGTGTTTTAATACATTACATTACTCAGCATAAAGGATAAATTTGAGACTTTTACAGGTAAATGGATGGAACTCAAGACTGTACTTCTAACTGAAATAAACCAGACCCACGTGTGTAAGCATTGTATTATCTCCCTAGTGTGAGAATTTGAAAGGGTAAACAAGATTCAAAATGTACACTGGATATTATGAATAAGGATGAAACTGATAAAAGAAAAAGAAAAACTGTGATGGAAAAAGGGAAAAGAAAGGAAAGTAAAGGAAAAATATATGCTTACACAGACAGTTAAAGTAGTTATACAGCTGGTTTCTCTTGGTTCATTAAGGAGAAAGTTTTATGTTGGTAGCTTTCTGGACAATATTTCATGCCTATATCTTGTCCTTTGAACAATTTGTGAATATAACAATATACAATGCATTGATTATTGTTGTTACTCTCTTCCTAGCCTCTTTTGAAGCTGAGTTTTATTGCTACTTCTTGCTTTTTAACCTTTATATATATTCTTTCTTTTAAAAGGGGAATACAGAATAGTAGTATAAAAGAAAAACTAGAAATGATACAGAACTTCCCTAAACAAAATGATATGAATTTGACACTGTTTGTTGTATTGCATGGTGGTGTCTTCCAATTACCAGATATATGTATGCAAAGTTGGAAAAAGAAAGAAACAAAGGCAATAAGAAATTAAGAAGAGAGAAAAATGAAAATAAAAATGCAGGAAAGAAGCATTAACTACTTCTTTCTATAGACCAGAAGAAATCCACAGTACAATTTCCAAACCATCCTCCTTACATACACAAATATATCTCTTTCCCCAACTCCCTCTCCTGTGCTTTTTTCTGTTTATAATAAGATATTTAAAAAATCTTTAGTCAGTTTGGTACCAAATTTTGTCATTTTGCATCATTTGCTTGTTGCTTAGATCTCTTTCTATTTCCTGTATGTCTCAGAATCCTGGGCTTGTGTCTATTGTGCTCTGCTGGTGTGGTGATCTTTGCCTGACAGTTCAGTAACTAACATGTTCCAACCAGTTATTCTGTCCAGTGAATGTCTTTGGAAAGCCCCAGAATCATTGTCTTGTTGACAACATAACAGATGGTGGTTAACATTTTTCCCTAGTATGTGATCTTGCCCTGCCTTCATGAGGGCTCATGGAGGTGCTACTTCATTTTCTAATAACATTAGATTGTAGACCTAGACCAGGATTGAGTGTGAATGGCCTATTAGTTTGAATTTGAATTTCCCTATTTTGAGGTTGTGTGGCTCTTTCCCTTTCAGATTGAGTTATGTGGTACTTTTAATGCTTCAGGTAATCTAGAGATAACTTAAAAACATTCTAGATCTTTCTCACCAAAATCACTACAACTACAGTTGTTATTCACTAGTTGTTTTATCTCTATGATTTAAAAATAATGGAGTGTGTATGAGTCTGAGGAGTGCAGGGAAGATTAACTTCAGTCAGACTTCAAGCCAAGTTCATAAGGCATTGCTAGAAGTTGTTGAGATCAGAGTTCAGGTGTGCTATGCTGATCATGTTGTCTCTAGAATGTTGCTTTGGGGATTTGAAATTATGGCAGCATGACAAATGATAGCTTTTATGGCAGCATGACAAATGATAGCTTTTTTCTTCTTAATTATCAGAATATTCTGTTGTATTTTATGAAACAATAAAATAAAATTTCAGAAGAAAATAATAACACAAACTAGCCTGGTAGGTGCAAACCTATAATCCCAGTACTCGGGCAACTGAGATAGTAGGATCATTAAGAATTTGAGGTTAGCCTGGGCTACATAGTGAGTTTGAGGCCACCATGAATTACATAAGTAGACCTTGTCTCTAAAAACAAGAGAGATGGGGAAGGGTGGGGAAGGGAGGGAGAGAAAGAAAGAGAGAGAATAACAAATATACTGTGTATCATCTTCAGAATACAAGATACTGGCCAAAAGATTCTTACATAGAAGAAACAGATATTAGCACAAAGCTTTCTTTTAAGAGATCTAAGAGAAGCCAGTAGTATTCAAGCATGTTTTTTGTATTAAACATTGCTGGCCATGTTGTAGTTGCTTAGATCATGGCTATCAGCATATAGAGTCAGTCAAAGTAAAAATTCTACACATTAACTTGTATTTTCAAAAGAGTGATTGAGATTTTCAGTACAATTACTTTATCTATCCTTTATATATACTTACATGTTTTTCCTCTACCTTATTTCTTATCTTTTCTTTTTTCTCTCCTCTTTGTTATTTAATGCTTAAGTTATTTAATCCTTTCATTATTTTGTGTTTTACCATATCAGTTATACCTTTCAGGTTTTATTTCTTCTTTTGGGTTCTTACAGTAGGGAGACAATATGATATTTACACTTGTGGGTCTGGTTTATTTTACTTATGAGTATAGCCTCTATTTGCATCCACTTACCCATGAAAGCTTCTAGTTTGTCTTTCTTTATAGCAGAGTAATACTCCATTTTATAAAATACTGCATCTTTTTCATCCATTTGTTGGGTGATGGGCATTTTAGTTGCTTCCAAGATTTGGCTATGACAAATTGTACTTCTATAAACATGGGTGCACATATATCATTGTGGTATGATGTTTTCACTTGTTCTGGAAAAATTCCCAGAAGGGGAATAGCTGGATTGAATGGTATTTCTAGTGCTACTTTTTTGAGGAGTCTCTACACTGATTTCCATAGTGGTTGTACCAGTTTACATTCCCTCTAGCAGTGGAGAAAGGTTCCTTTTCCCCCACAGCCTCTCCAGCTTTTATTATTAGGCAATGTCTTTATGATACCCTTCTTGTAGGGTGAGGTCATATCTCATTGCTGTTTCAGTTTGCATTTCTCAAATTGCCAGTGATGTGGAGCATTTTTTCATGTATTTATTTGACTGTTATGTTTGTTCCTCTGAGAAATGTGTATTCATCTCCGATGCTTATTTTCGAATTGAGTGTTTAAATTTTGGGCCCCGAACTTTTTTAGTTCTTTATATATACTGGATAGAAGACCTTTGTCTGAGTGATTATTGGTTAATTTTTTTCCCAAAT